GATCTAAATTAAACTAATTAGTACAGTACAATTCTAAATTAGGTTTAAAAAGCTATATTTTTCTTAAATTATTTCATTAAACCCCTTGAAAATTTCATTATCATTCATATAATCCTATTTTTCTTTTCATTTATACTTTGTTTAACTGGAAGCACCAGTTTTTCATATTGATTCATTGTAAATAAATTTCATCAAATCTTTGTTATCTTTGTTTTACTTTGTGTGTTTCTTAAAATAGTAAATAGTCACTGACAAGTGACAGTCATACTGAACCTGACTGTCCCAGAATATTTATTATTCCCCTCTTGGGGTAGCAGTCATACTACAAGTGGCCAATGGGTCTCTTTTTTGGGGGGGGGGATAAATTGGAATCGACATGTCTGTAGGCAAGATGTTGTCTGGATTTATTATTGAATAAAATTATACATACATTGGACATTAATGTAGAGATATTTTTTGTAATAAAAGAAATTTAATTTCAGATAAATTGAAAAGGAAGAAACTCCATACTTTAACAAGAAAATATGAGGATGACCTTTGCAATGCACAAAGAGAGGGGACTCGGGCATCAGATGAAGCATGGACAGCAGGAGTAATAAAACATTTTAATGCCCCCTAAACGAAGTTCCGGGGATACATAGTTTTTGTTGTTTACGTTTGTCTACAAAAACTTGAACCTTGCCCATAACTTTTGCTTTAGCAGAGCTATGACTTTCATATTTCACATGTGTATTCCTTGTGACAAGACCTTTCTTTGGGTACCAAATCTGACCCTTTGACCTTGACATTGGAGTTTGACCTACTTTTCAAAATTGGTAACCTTGACTATAACTTTTGAAGGGTTAAGACTAGGGCTTCCATCTTTCACATATGTATTTTTTGTGGCAGGACCTTTCATTAGATACCCTTAACCTTGACCTTTTGACATTGGAGATATCAAGAAATATTAGAAATACCAATACATTAAACTTGCAATGTTGCCATACGGGGCATTAGTGTTTTGCAAACACATCTTGTTTTTTTTTATAAGAAGTGGTTTTAAAAAAAGGGTTTATGTAACTGATCTTTTGAGAGAAGATGGTTCCTTTATGGACATGAATTCTTTCAATTTGAAACATGGAATCAAAGCAATCTTTCTTGAGTAAAATAGATTTAAGATTTTAGCTGTTATTAGAGAAAAGATTTGGCTTCTCTGTCAACAGTTTATATGCCATATATTACACAAAGCTGTGTTCTTAATATAAATGCTAAAAACTGGAAATCATCCAAGTTTTGAAAACCAATGCCATCAAGCCTCTAGGTCAATCTAGGTGGAACAGGATTTTTAACCTTTAAATCATTTTGAATGGGAGACATTTTTCTTCTCATTCAAGCTTACTAAAAATACACAACAACAGGGGTTCATAATATGAGGGATGCAAAACTTGTAAGGATTATTTAGGGGGAAATCCTATAAAAAAAAGAAACCACCTTAATCAAGAAGCATATCCTTTTAAATCAACACACACAAAGGAATACTTTTTTTATGTGATAAAAACTCAAACTTTAGTTAAATCAAGACAACCACCCCTCCCACAAGCATGGATATAGCAAAAAGTATTATAATTATATTATAGCTTGCAACTGTCAGAAAGAAAACTGAGAATTTTAAATCTGCAATCAATGGTTCAATGATGGGACGAAAGCTACGCACAACCGTTCCTACGCTACCAGAAAGGCTAGACCCAGAGTGGATGGACCATGATGATGTGTATCTTCGTGAACAAAGATACAAGGAGAGGTATAAATTCAGTTATGACCGACGTCATAATGTGCGTCTATTGGAGGAACTTAAGCCAGGAGATTCAGTCAGAATCAAGACGGACAAGGACAAACGATGGCTTACTCAAGGAACCGTTCAGGAGGGAGATCCAAAAACGCGATCGTACGTCGTAGAGACGCCCAGAGGTTCGTACCGCAGGAACCGTCGACATCTTCAGTAGACCGACAAACTTTCGTTCTCTGATTATAGCAAACCTGTATTTCCTTCTGAAACGTTAACCCCAGATGCCGACCAAATACCACCAGTAGTTCTTCAGAAATCGCAATCGCCACAACAGGAGCCTAAAATCGCAAGTGACATTCCTAAAATTCCAGTCTCCAAAACCAGGAGTTGTGCAAACGCGCAGCGGACGTGTCGTCCAACGTCCAAAGAACCTTGATGATTACGTTGAATGACATTTGATTAATTACAAGTATGTTTTTTCAGAAAATTTGCATGTTTTAAGTTGAGTAATTGACTGTGTAATTGTAGAGTTGTAGAATTGTATTGAATAAGTACTTTTTAATTAATTTACATAATGCATCTCTAGTCAAATGCATATTCTAGTCTAAAGATAATTTTGCTTAAAGTTCATTGTATTTTCTTAGCTTTGGAGGAAAGATGTTTCGGATTCATGTTTCATTCAGTTTGTGTACCATGTGACTTTTATGTGTAGAGTTGTGTATGACGTCACGTATTATGTGCTCTTATTAAATGATTGAGTTGATCACACGTGTTTTCGATGGCTCGTCTGAACAATAGTGATAATACCTATTTCATAGTGTTGGAGACGCTACCATTATTCCCGTCAGATATTTGAAGCGATTACTGTGAAGTCAGATTGGTTAGGAATTCACCTTGTTCAATAAATTGGGTTGATCTGATCTTATCCTATTCCTATACCATAACCATAATAAATTTGTGCCCACAACCAGAGAGAACCGTTTTGTTGTTTATTTAAACTCAAGAACCGGTTACAACTATCTGTGCCTTGATTTAATTCAACAAATAGCTTCCACGAGTAGTGTATAGAATGAATTAATTTTTACTTTCACAGACATTTAAGTAACTCGGACATAAAGCTATTCGTTTAAACATAACCCTGCATTGCAGGTACAGTGTGGCATTGATTAGACTCAAAATATGCATGATGTAACATAGAGTAAAATATAACCGACATATAGAAGATTGGAATGTAAAACAAGTTAGACCTCAGTACAAAGAATTATGGGAGGGAAGTGGAGGAAGATCATCATTAACTGTGTACGAGTGTTGGTAAAATAGGTAGGCAAACCCGGGCCGGGGCAAATTAAAAGCCGGGGTAGATCGAGATTTTTCAAATTTCTTTCTTCATACTTTATCGATCGAGCTGAAATTTTCAGAATCTATTCAATACATGATTATTTATATTCGCAGCTAAAATTGCCCTGAAATACTTTATATTATATTTTTTATTGGCGATTAAAAATTTTCAAGTTGGTAAAAAGGGTAGGCAGTTTCCCAAGTTCACAATATTACGTTATCAGACATATGCTGTATTAAGTCCATAAGGTTAAAAATAAACTTGGTGTTTAAGAATATATATTTATTAACTATGAATTAATATTTCGTCATTGGTTATTGTAATATTAACGTAAAACTAGAATAAAGCTCGTTGCAAAGCAACGAGTAGGTCTTCCCTCCTATTTTGACCGGAAGTGACTTCAACAAAAGAAAGCAATGAGAGCAGTCGTCTCCAGTCACTTTATAATTTAAATTTTGCATCAAAACCTTAAAAAATAAGCTATTTTCGGCTACTTCCGGTTTGACCGGAAGTGATGTCGATGGACGGAAAATTAAGTTTTATGCTTCCAGTGACATATGTTACCCAAAAAATTGTCAAGAACGGCAAAAATATGCATTTTCTGACTACTTCCGGTTTGACCGGAAGTGACGTCGCTGGGCGCATTTTGACGACTGAAGTAGATTAAGCTTGACATTTTGAACAACATTGCTTCTTGGATGTATAACAAATTCTCAATACTTTTTTGAGATATATGGAAAAAAACTTTTGCCCCTCTAGATCCCTTAATTTAGGGGTCAGCCCTTTTTTCGAGATATCATTTGAAAGATCTTGTAATTCTGCACAAGTTTTGTTCTATATGTTTTAACAAAAATTTTTTAGGTTAGAAGATTAAAAGCAAAGTATGTGTAAATTTTCGCTCTTTTAGGCGTTTTAATTTTTGACCCCTATATAGCACCATTTTGAATAGAGAATGTCGTTTCTTTGCTCGGGTTTTTCCGTACAATAGACGGAAGCCAAATTGACCAATTGGAAATTGTCTTGGTATGCGCTACATGTAAATTTTTCCCGCTTCAATGTCGTTTCTTTGTTAAGTTTCCCGCGTGAATGTCGTTTTTTTTTGCTCGTTTTTTTCCGTAAGATTGGCTGAATCGACCTATCAGAAATGAAGAGACTATTTTGTGCTTAAACGTGAAAAGAAACTTTTCTTGTTTAGAACAATCAGATGATTACTCGGGCTTTTCCGTCAAAAAAAGGGAAATTCGCAGTATTACTAAAACAAATAAACAAAGTTATTTAATGATTTAACGAAATTGTTATTGAACGGTCTATCTATAGCAGTTCACAGTTTTCCCAGAATACACCGCCATGGCGGCCGAGCATGCGAATTCAAGGAATTTGGACTAACGTAGTTGCTAGCGCTCGAGAGACCTTCATTTTCTGTTTTAATTTTGCATCAAACTAAATGCCTTCAATATTCAGGATTTCCTCTCATGCTACAAGCTGATCCTGGAACGGAAAATTCAGATATGGGTGCAATTCAATGCACACTTCGACATGAAGCTGGCGACTGCTTTGCGGGACAGCATAGTTTTAGAGTTGTAAAGTCAACATTTAATCAAGTGGGTAATTTTCTTTTTGTTTGTATTAAAAAAATCCTTACAGGTATAGTCTTCGTTATTGCTTTATGCCTGTTATTCAAAAAGAGCTTGATGATTTACTCGAACAATGGAATGACCATTATGTATCTCAAAGCAGACAGGCATCATGCCCAGCTGGAAGGCCCAATAGTATACATCAGTTATCATCAGAAAATGGTACTAAATACTTTCATCCTACTAATTCAATGTTTTTATTTGTTTTAATTTCTTTTTTTCAATCAACCCACTCCTTGATATTGTTACTGTTCTAGGTAGCACTGATTGTGTGACCAAAACGACAGAAGAAGATGAGGCATGGCTACAGACTTTTCAACACCCTATCAGCAGAAGTGGATCTGATGAATTTGATATATTTCCTCATCAAATGTTTCTGTCAAATAATTGGACAGACGCCGTGGAATGGAAAGAAGCCTTGCATCAATATTGTCAATTAAAAGAATGATTATGTTGACATTTACCATTTTCTTCTTTATTTAATCAAAGTAAAACTATAAAGAAGGCTCAATAACAAACGAAAGAAACAACCTACGATTACATATCTCGCAATCACTGAGTATGTGACTTTTGATTGTGTTCAAATACTAAAAAAAATGGTTAACTTTTGCTTATATTACATATACAACTGAAAATCTTATCCATATCAATTTTGAATCTTTTTCTCTGTCTTATTAGAAAAGGTTTACATTGTAGTCCAAAATTCCAAGTCAATTGAGAAAAAAATATAAGATATTTGACAACAATGCTACGTTTTCCATAAAACGTGTCTGTACAAACGAAAAATCCATTAATCAACCAATGAAAACTGGAAAATAATACAGAAATACACTGTCAGTAACAAAAGAACTTTTTTTCCAATCAATGTTATTGGAGTCCAAAGTAGATATTTGAGAATGCCCACATGAATCTGTCTATCCTGTATTCCTCACTTTTATCTGACAACGGAAGAATTAGTTGATTGATACAGGTTGATGCAGTTGGCAGGTCGCCTGAGAGTTCACTGAAGAGGATACTTGGTTCAATTTCGAAACCAAGAACTGGTTCCTCTTCAGAACCTGTTGCAAAAGCCAAAATATGGCCAAGCGTTAAGCTTCCTTGTCTTCCAGCTGAAAAAATATACACTCTGGCTTTAGGAATGTATAAGCTTAATAAGCAGATATTTGGATACAGTTAAAATATGCATGTAAAAGAAATTAATTAGTTCATTGTTACTATTATTAATCTCAAATACCAAATATCTTTTACTCTATTGTCAGATCAAACTGAATTTAATTGTAATTACTGCAACATTTCTTATGAATCTAATGAAGAAAGAGTATACTCTCTTCTCTTGGACCTTTTGTTGGTTCCATCCTCGCTGAAGCGTGGCTTTAAAGTGTTTACAAACTTAGAAACACTAAGTCTTACACCTTGCTCTCGGAAGAGATATAACAAGGACGGTTTCTGTCTGATGAGCTTTAATACAAATAAAAAAAGTTAAGGTCTCAATATTTATCATTAGTTTAAACTAAATTTAAAATATTTAACAGCAATATTGAAATCTGTCGTTAGTTCAGATGATGTGCAAAGATTAACAATCAGTACTAGCATTAGTTACAAAATCCGAACCTGCCATAGTCCTACTCTTTCGAGTCCTTTCCTGAACAGGGCATACTCTTCTGGCTCCGACTGTGGCCAGTTGTCCATAAGAGATCCCAGGAAATTTGCGCATGGCCCATTTTGAAGGGCACTGAGACCTAAAATTATAAATTATCGTATTTGTATTCCAATTATTTTAAAAAGTATTCTTTCATTGATAGATGGTTTAAGTCCAATCAACTAATTTTATACATGTATTTATCGAAAGAGCTACTATTGAATAATTGCTAGTGTTAATTTAGTTAAGGAAAATATTCATGTCATTACCTACAATTACTCCTGCAGAATAATAGCTTTGATTTTCAATGAGAGCACCGTTTCGTCGGAGTTTGACTGGTACTCCTGGTTCCAAAATGGAGGACTTCAAGTAGGCCAGAACCAGTCGTAAAAATTCCTTTCTAGGACCACCTAAGTCCTCACTCTGCTCCCCGTAAAAGTTCACTTCTAGCGGAAATCGAATATTGGAAAGCAATTTAACCTCCGAGTTTGTGTCTTCCCATAGGTTGTTACGTCCAACAAATATCGAAGACGTGTCACCTTCAATAATTTCACCTCGCTTATGTCCAATTTTCGTCCCATCAAAAATTCGTCTTTGTAGGTTTTCAAGATTTTTGTGGGCTCCTCAGTTGATCCCCTTTAAAAAAAAAATAAACAGTTTATCGTACATGTATAAATACTTACTGAAACAACCGTATCATTCTACTAGTAAGTCAGTTAGAGGTAACATTCTGATTTCAATATACTTATCCAATTGTTGGTATAAATCCCTGATTAATAAATCCGTGTAATTCTTGTAATTCAATAAAAAGACAGTAAACAATGCACTAATTTATTTACATATACATGTTTACATTAATGATGCATTTATCCATTTATAAAAGTTCTTGAGTTAAATATTACAGATTTATTAAACATAATGTGAATTAAAATAAATAGAACTGATATACTCAAAATGCATTTTATGTCTACTTCTACCAGATAATTAGAGAAGTTGAAATGAAATATATTAATTGCGTGTCAATGCCACATTTAGATTGCAATTCAAATAAGTTCAAATATCCAATCAATTCAATTTAATATTTATTGAAGTTTTAGTTTGCACATTTCTTTCCGGTTCCATGTCCTGGGCATTTAGATAGTTTCTGTCTGAAATATAAATAAAGCGATATTGAGTTTTATAATATTTTTAGTAAAGAGAATTAAAAATGCTTATTTCAAAATTACCTTTGACATATAAAGAATGAATTATTGTATTTGATGATAAAATCAATTGGATTTCATTAATCAAAATGCAGAGATGTGATTATTATTAGCTTGTAGGGAACATTTTGCCCACTCAGCTCTTTCATCAATCTTTCAAGAGCAGGTGCAGCCCCATGGACCTCATAAATACATGGCTGCTCTAGGCCTCCCCCTCTTCTCCACCTACCACCCTGACATTGTACATCCTCCGGTACTGTTGGTTTGCTACAATGAATCATGCCTAATAACTAAAGATATGTGAAGTTTGACCTAGGTGCTTTATAACTATCACACTTGGAAATTTCTTTTTCTGGTGTGTTGTTTAAAACTCAGTAGGATTTATTTCCATTGAAGTGTTCGTTAAAAGTTCTGTGCCCTTTCGTTGTAGGTTTTTAAAAAATAGAATTCTTAATATTTAAATTAAAATATTTTACTGTATCTGCAACTTCACTGATCTTTCAAATATCTTCAAAATTTACAAACATGTTTACCCTCTTAACTTAAAGTGTGCTGATAATTTCATGAATAATGTTTCAAAACAAAATGATTTTTTAATTAGAATATCCTTATGCAAGTATATGTGACGCAAACGGGTCTTTAAAAGACAAGATAGGGTAACAGTCGAATCTGGCCCTTTATATGATATAACTAGAACAGTCCAAACTTGATGAATTACCCACCATTGGGTTTTTCAGAAGTAAGTTTATCCATAAGAAAGATATGGACCGGACAGAAATTATGAAAATTTTCAACCAGTGACGTTGAAGTTCCCCAAATGACCTTGGGTCAACGTCAAGACACACCCTTGGGTCATGGGCAATCTTTGTATGAAATGAGATCCTATCAAGTTTATCCATAAGAAAGATATGGACCGTACACGAATTATGAAACTTTTTCTTCCAGTGACCTTGAACTTCCCAGATGACATTGGATTAAGGTCATGACACACCCTTGGGTCATAAGCAATCTCTGCGTGAAATGAGAATTGACCAAATTTATCCATAAGAAAGATATGGTCCGGACTGGTGGAATTTCATCATATTTGGGATATATTTCTCTTAGGAAAACATAGAGCACATGCTTGCCTATCTGGGATTTTTACACATATACTGCGTCTGATATCAGTGTATAAAATATATAAATTTGGTAGAAAGGCAAGTGTGTGCTCTATGTTTTCCGAAAGAAGATGTGCTGTAAAATTAATGAAAATTTCCATAAAAATGAGAAATTTCGAAAATTTACCTATTTCCTAACCTCACTATGACCCCTGTATATTCTAAATCTTTAAACCAACACTAATTTTGTGGCAGGGATGACAACAGGTTTTTGGGGGCCAAATACTGGTCGTACCCTATCTTGTTCTTTCTTTGTCTTTTAAAAACAGATCAAGAAACGGTTTGATCATGAAAATTTATTGTCACAAACTAGTTTACTCCGGAAATAAAGTTGTTGAGGATAAAGGTTGGTTTACTGTATACACTACCTGAGAATGCTTCTATATATGTTTCAAGTTTTCTGGTTCAGTGGTTTTTGAGAAGAATATTTTAAAAACTTAACACCAATAATTTACTATTTCTTAATTATCTCCCCTTGAGTAAGGACGTAGCCCTTCATTTGAACAAACTTGAATCCCCTTCACCTATTGATCTTTGTGACAAGTTTAGTTGAAATGGCCTAGTGGTTCTAAAGAAGATGAAAATGGAAAAAGTTTACAACGACAACGCAACAGACGATGCACAAATTCTGATAAAAAAAGCTCACTGAAGGCTCAGGTGAGCAGAACAGTAGGTCCCAGTGACCTACTTTTTTATAAATATGTTTTATTGGTCCCAAAATGCATCAACATACAAGATTTGATAATTCTAAATTTCTCAGTGTCTAAAAAAATGGGAATAAATGTTTTAAAGAAGGACTAGTCATCAAGTTTAAAATGGGTCACAATGACCTACTTTTAAGTTGACGTTGTTCAAGGACTTAAGATGCATCACCTGACAAATCAGCTGTCAATTGCGGTGGGATGAAAAATACTTACTCTTCAAAACAGGCACCTTCGATAGTTCCATTTATGTTGAAGGGAAAGTATAGTTAGTCAAGGTGATTTTTTTTAATAGTAGTAATATATTTTAAGATGTTAAATGAATGTTTCCATTACAAGGGAATCCTTATTTATTTATTTTTCAATGACTTATTTGATAATGAGTATTATTTTGAAAAAGATTACTTTTTACAACACGTACAATGTATGTTTATGAATTGGGGTATTTTTAATGAACTCAAATGAAAAAAATACTATTCCAAAAGATCATCAGAGAAAGCGATGATAAAATATATACCACAATTCGTGTCGACATGTTGCTGTTCAGGGAGGTTTTTGTGTTGTAGTGTTCCACAGTCACACATTTCACTTCTACACAGGTTCCTTCTTCTTTGATCTTGTCGATCATTTCCTGTCCCCATAGCTTTAGTTCTACTAAACCTGTTTGGTCAGTAATGGTTACAATTTTCCTCTTTGAATTGTTACCAATGAGGAAATTGGTCATCTGTAAAAGAAATGAATTAGGAATAAAATTTAGGGAAAAAAATGAAGATGTGGATTTTTGTTCATGATCAAACTATTTTTTACGTTACATGTTTTGAAATACCCATATCCTTTTGCATGAATATTCTTGAATCTATAATATTCAAAAAATGAGAAAATCTTATGTATACCCATTTTAAAGGATATACAAGTTGAAATGTATTGGTGCATGTAAATTTTAGTGCCTGTGCTTGTCATTTATGCATATAATGTGATTGATATATTTTTCTTTTGATCCACTCTGTCCATATTGGATTTTGTAAACCATATATGGAATAGAGCAGGGTTATTTAAATAATCGATAAATGTTTTCATGAATTCTCTGCATGGTCGATTAGTAATGTTTATTGTATTGGTCTTTGTCCGGAATTATTTATTATTTGAAATGTGAAGAATGACACCACAGTTTGCTCTATTTTGAAGGTTCTAAGATAAGTAATAGGTAAGCATTAACAATAGGGAAATTGATCATGTTGATTTATAATAAGCTATAGGATGAATTAATTAATGATCAATCCTTACAGTTTACCAGTTCAAGTGTTTATATACAAAATATCAGTGTCTGTAAGGTATTGTGAATTTGAGCATTCCAGTTTATATGGTCTTAGGTGAATGCTCAGTTTGAATAAAGAAAAGTTTGTTTAATATTTAAGAATCTGATTGTTGACAGTAAATTTTAGTGTTCAGGGACACTTCCTCCAAAGGTGGTGAATATAGTAGTTTACTATATTTCACTCCTTGGCAGTGCTTGTAATAAAGTTTTCAAATGAGCTTCTATTTATGTTTTATATTTTTTTAGTCCAGAGGTTAAGAGGATGATTATTTCATACAAATATGATAAAATCTGAAGTAAATGATATGGAGTTTAGGATTAGAAATTGTAACACTACATGGTTTTTTTCAATTTCATTTACTATAAACATCAACATTATTCTAAAGGAATGCATACCCTGTCCACTGTTCATTTTAAGGAAACCCTTGTGCCCTTCTGCTTTGTTTTGATGGTGGCAATACTTTTTCACTGGAAGTTGCAGAGAAGATCACACATCTTTTAATAAAACTAAAAGTTCCATTTGAATGTGAATAGGTAAGTCTATGCATATATTTTGGATTATGTAATGGTTGCTATACTCCTAGTTTAATCATGTTAATAATGTTCCTAATACACTATATTATATCAATTTGAGAAATTCTACAGTGGGGTCCTAAGATAAAAGACTATAGTACATAGTGCACTAAAACTTGAACCCAAACCTCACATTGTATAGGCAAAGAAGTAACCTCACAATGCTTGTCCTAATTTTTGCTCTTGTACAGGATGCTTGTCAGCCATAGTTCTACATGATAGTTGATACAGAAAAAAAGAACATGGAGTTTCCTACTGCTTTTATTGGATTTGATTCGATTGAGGCATTTGTAAATGTGTGCTTATATAGCTCAGACTTTGATCTTGATGTCTTGGAAATCTTTATCAATGGAGTCAATTTTTTGTGCTTCTTAAATACAGATGATTTTAATGCATGCTGCTGTTACTGTCAGTTGAATTCATTCCATATTAAAAAATATTTTCTCATTTGAATTATTACCGGTACTTACATAAGGTAAGTTTATTTCATGAGTGCTTGTATCACATCTATTTAGAAATGCCAAAAAAGTAACTTGTGTGTTGTCAAGTGTAAATGATATGTTGTGCATTTATTTAGAGAAATGCACATGTACGGGTCTACAAGTATTTTTGAGGCTTCATGCAAATTATTATAATAGGGCAATGAGTCGATGCTTTCATGAGACCCTTATCATAAGCAGAGGGCTAACTTCAAACTTATGCTATTATATATGTATACATAATAAGTATAGTAGGTCAAGTAACCTCACTGTGTTAAACCCCATAATGTGTAGGCAGACAAGCATAACCTCGCAGTGATAAGCTTATAAAGTGTGGAGATCGAGATTGTAGCTTCATAATGTTAAACCACATAATGTGAAGACAGACAAAGAACCTCAAATTGTTAATCCATAATGTGTATATGGATAAGACACCTTGCAGTGTTAAACCCCACAATTTGTATATGGACATGTGACCCCACAATGTTAAATCCCATAATGCATAAACAGACAAGAAACCTCACATTGTTAATCCATAATGTGAATATGGATAAGACACCTTGCAGTGTTAAACCCCACAATTTCTATATGGACATGTGACCCCACAATGTTAAATCCCATAATGCATAAACAGACAAGAAACCTCACACTGTAATCCATAATGTGAAGATGGATAAGACACCTTGCAGTGTTAAACCCCACAATTTGTATATGGACATGTGACCCCACAATGTTAAACCCCATAATGCATAGACAAAGAACCACTGTTTAATCCATAATTTGGTTGGTTTATCTTGCTATGTAGAAAAATAAGAAAACATGGACTTAATATGAATATCACTTTTTATAAGAAGAGTATGTGTCTATAGTTTTTAAAATAATATGGAAGCAAGTTAGTATGAGATGTTTCAGGTTTGTTAAGACCATGGCCAACCTCCCTCCCCCATGAGGTTTTGATGGGGCCAAAATGGGGGGGGGGTGATGGTGTCAACATTCAATAAAGTTGTACCAGTATATTTGAAACATCTGAAAAACAAAGGTACAAATTGTCAAACTAATATTAAACACAAGCTAATATATTGAAGATTCAAGTCTCTTTACACAATTACCCTTGAGTCGGAATGCGACCACTATAGGGGTTCAAATATAAATGCATAGAAATAATTTTTTTAAAAATTGAGTAATTTTTAAGCAGTTATTTCTTATACATGTTAAATAATTATGCAAGAAAGGTTGTATCTAGAAAAGATCTTTATTCATACTATGACCCTTAGAGATAAGACAGGGAATCCGTAGATTTTAACCTATGAATAGTGTGTGTGTGTGTAGGGCATGATAATATAGATATGAGCTAGTTTTCAAAATTTTAAATTTTTTCCCCATTAGGTGTATGAAAAATGGACACAATAAGGACTCGTCTCAGTTTTTCATCAATATCTATAGACAAATGTTATGCTAAATTAGAATAGGAAGGCTATAAGTAAAATTGTTGCTCAGGTAAGGAATGAGGTCCATATTTTTTTTTTTTTTTTTTTTTTTTTTTTTTTTTTTTGCAGAGCATCAAACACCAAAAAGTATCTGTTTTGCATAGTATAATGTTTATTTGTTTTTTTAAAGGTACATTGACTGCCATGTTTCATTTTACAGTTTGACATCAACAAAGGTGGAATCATTTTCAGAAATAGTGAAATGGAAGGAGAAAGGCTTACGTAATAAATGTTTTTTTTTAATTTCAGTTCATTTGAATGATAAAGAGGGTTGGACACAAAACTCAAGTTTATTAGTTAAAAAATTATTGGTTCTGTAAATTGCCTGTTAAAATTTCTTTCATTAGGTGTCCTCAAACTTTAATTTTTCTTCAAAAGTTCAACAGGTTTGGTACAAAATTTTGATGCAGCTAAGTAAAAACAAGCAAAACCATGTCTGCTGCATAAATGTTGAATATTTTGGCCTTAGAAATGAAAGATTAATTTTTTTAAGCCTACATCAATATAGAGAAAAATGCCCCAACAAAAGTTTGAATTTTTTGGTTCCATGGTCTAGAGGTTGTTAAATTGGTCGAAATGAATATTGTGGTGTCATTAGTTTTTATAGGCAACAATGCTATCTCGATCTCTTTCAGGCCAACCTAAGGAAGTTGCAGTGGTAACCAATTCTGCATTATTTTATCTATGATAATTTTTGACTAAAGGACTAAAGTTTTGTGTCAATACTTTATGGACGTTTATACAATGTGTGTGCATTGAAATTCATGTGATTTCAGCATATTACATAAAGAATATTCATTATATGGAGAGGAGAATCGACACTATTGTGAGACCGTTGACTTTTTACTTGTCATTTGTTGAATGTATATTTGAATTGTTTCGACAAAACAAAAGTTAAACAAATGTGTTGATTTTTTTTTAATTGAAGACTTTTGAGATTAAATTACACGTAAAAGGTATTTTTACAATATTTAATTATCAGAAGTCAAGGTCAGATTATTTATTTTCTCTGTAGTGGAGGACAGATTATTTATTTTCAACATTTCAACAACAGCCCCCCCCCCCTCAGAATCAAATGGTCGTCTCCTAATATAGCTGACTGTCTTCGAAAGAGGATATAATCGATGAAAATAAATTAGCATACCTGTTTAATTAATTGAACTCCATATGAATGAATTTAACACAATATTTCCGATATTTCCTTTTAAACTCCATTTTACATATTTTTGAAGATGCCGTCTTAGCCAAATTCTCTTTACAGGACATGATCAATTTCCAAGTTACTTGATGTACACATATGACGTCATCGGTGGTAGATTTCAATTATGATGACTGTTACAGCATAACAAAATAAAAATATTTTATATTTGTTAATGTTTACACGTTTCTAATCATTTTCTAGAGTTAATTTATATAGCTAAATACCAATATTACAAAAACTTGATTTCTAAAATTGACGTCATTTTGCCTACTATGACGTCATAATGCAGCACTGATTTAGCCCAGGTAGAATATTTGTGTGCTTCCTTATTCCCCCTGCGTGTGCGCCGATGTACACTTACATGGTTTCTTTATTTTTTCACAGTTTTCTTATTAAATGTGGTATCATCATGAAACTTGAAATGCATGATCATAAAATGTTACTTTTTGCTATGACAAGAAAAGAAATTTGATTTAGCAAAGAGAAATTAAACTGTGTTCTCTGTCTACGACTTTTTGGGACAACCCTCGTATCTCAGCGAGATGGGTAGAGACTGAAAATTTGGATTGACGTCTACTACCCATCTCAGACCAGTCCCACACAACGTGATTCGGGATTTATAAATTCAGGCTGATTATAATAATTCGTACTACTACTATTTCTTATAAG